TGACATCATTTGGAGATCTTGGTTATTCAAGGTTTTGGTGGGCTTTTGGACTTAAATTTTTTGTGGGGCCTTTTGGAGCGGTGCGGCAGGGATATGGTGCTCTCTCTGCCCCCCATGAGTTTCCCGAAAGGAAACAGCGGGATTTGGGTGCCTTCTTTGAGGGTTCCCCTTTCTTGTGGTTTTGGGAAACCAACTGGAAAACTTCTTCTTCTTTCTTTCCGGGGGGGGTCCCCAATTGTATTTGAGGCAGTTGCATGCTGGTTTTGGGTTGGAAATGTGCGTGGGTCGTTTTGTTGCATTTGGCACCCTGTTGCGCCTTGGTTTTAGGGGAGCAAGAGGGCTAGCATGTTGGATTCCTTTTGGTTCCAGCCGGTGAACATCATCATGTAGGTGTGCCTTTTGTTTTGGTGGGCTGACCAATCCTGGCTTGGTTTCAAAGCGCAGCCAACAGGATACGAGCTATTTCGGGGGTGCCTAAGTGTGTGACAAACCCATGTCTTGCGGCAAGTCAGCGTTTTGATGTCTATTTTGGGAGGCACCTTCTCTCAAGAATCACATGACCGCTAAAACTTGACCACCATTCCACCAGGCCCAAAGAAGACCACCTAAAACCAAGATCGCCTGCTGCGCGTAGGATCTTTTGTTGGCAACAGAGCTAGAACCCGGAGACAGATAAGCCTCGGTGCGCTTGGTCTGGCTCGATGGCGAACAGGCCTGCAACAGGTGATATCAATGGTCTTATGGTTGCACCGGCCAGAGTTTGACAACTCACACACGCAACATCTTTTGCATGTTGCCGAGGCCCTGCTTTTGTCCGTTTCTGCAATAGTTTGGCAAAATATGAGGCTACGGCCATTTGCTGACCCTACTCAACTGCATTTGACGAGTGACTTACTTTGCACTGTCTGTGGTGAGGAAGGACCAGGCAGGCTAGGCTGTTGATCTTCGTTTGTTTTCACAAGCAAACGAGGAGGATCCACTGGTGTTTACAGAGCAAATACCAAGCGATAGGCTCGCCCGCAAATAGCCACATTTCCGGGTACACACGCAGCCCTCATCGGCGAGATCGCGGCCTTCTTTACATCTGATTTAGTTCAGACGTCCGCCAACCAAGTTCGAGACTGGAAAAGCCGCGTGGGACGCTTGGGCGGCGCTTTCCGAGGATATAGTCAAAACATCCTGAACTTTGTGCTACCGGTCGTTGCCCGGAGGGCTCATGCTGAGATTCAGATATGCTGTGCTGCCAGTGGGCCGCTGCTGTTGGGCGCTGGCTTTCCTGGACTCTGACCTGCCCCAGCGGGAATTTGGAGCGTTGCGCCCCTGCAAAACATCTTTGGGGGAATACTTCTGCGTATGAAGGTTCGCGAGGTATGGGTATGTGACAAAGTAGGGGGACCCTTAGACCTTTTCAATTGCCCCCAACCTAAGAAGGGTAGCCTCGAATGAACGCCGTATTGCCCACAATCAACCACACTGTAGGTGGACGAAGTTCTGGACGACTTGGGTGGGACATTTCACTATTAGACGTGGTCTGCCCCCCAGACAAGTTTCGGTCATGCTATAAAAAGGGTTCCCCAGCTAGGACCCGACAAACCTTAGGCAACCAAAACCTGGAAAACAACGGGTGAGAACCAAACAACCTGTTTCTCAGTTTTTGTCCGAAAGACCTGGCTCTGGCAGGAAGATCCTGGGTTTTCAAATTTGGGCCCATAAAGCAACCGTACAAAACACGTGAAGACACCGTATTTGTCCGCACGCAAAGCGACAACATTGCAAAACTATGCCTTTCCGTACAACACTATGTTTTCTCGGGACTCCTTTTTTTTGTGTGCTTACCAACTCAAGGTATAGCTCCATTTGCGTAGTTCTAGTAGGAAGCACATTCACGAACGTTTGGTCGTTTTTTCCCCATTGCCATTTTTGTTGATGTGCGAATACGGCTGATAGCGTAACCAGACATGGCCGGCCAAGCAGCCCAACATCCCGCGCCGCGCGAGGGACTCGCGACTCGACGCTTCAGGTCTTCTCCCTTGGCGCTGCCGAAGCCTCAGCGATGCGCGAGTAGAGCCGTGGCAACTTCAGGGTGGGGGGAGCGGGGTTATTGAGGGTATCATTTTCATTTTGCTTCACTGGGAAACCAAAAGGAAAGCCAAATGGACAACCAAATGGCATATCACATGTTTTGTTTGTCGCTGGCTTTCTGTTGTTGTTATTTTTTCTACGTGGGGGGGTCTTGGGGGCTATTTTTTCCCTCGGTTTTTTGGGGTGGCTCGAGAGAGGAAGCGGACCGGCTGAGGACACCTCCTTGGGCCCAATGGAGCCGGTGCTGCGCCCGGCTGCTCAGAGATTTGCACGGCGCGGGGCCGTTGCGATCTTGGCTAGGTCCCCCAGCTAGGTGCCCTTTCTCACCGTTTCTTTTTTGGGTATTTGGGTTGCCCTAGGACCTCGTTGGTATGGCATGGCAGCGACGGAGTTGGTGGAGTTGATGGTGTCGGTGCTGCTGGTGCTAGTGGTGCTGGGCTGATGCTTATGCCTGGTGCTGATGCTGGGCTGGGTTCATTGAAAAGAAACCAAGCCAGACGTGCCTGTTCCAGCGCCCGGTCCCTGCGATTGTTTTTTTGGGAAGTTGTTTGACATGGGGAAAATTAGGGAAGTTGGGGGGGGGGGGGGCTGGGTGGTGCTCCGTTGTTTTTCCCCACCTTTCTTGAGGGGGTTTTGATGTAATAACAACCGAAGAAGAGGGTGCGGTTGGTTGGCTACTTGAAAGTGATCCGGAGGGAGTTGCCGCGTATTGCAGCTGTTCAGCAGCACCCTTTGTCCTTTTTTGTTTGCTGCGTTCCCAGCGAAAAGTGGTCAATCCAAACAAGGCCCGTCTTGTGTTTACGAGGGCTGCCAAGCAGCTGGAGAATGGTAGACATTCAGGGTCTTTGTTCAAAATTTGGGCCTGCAGACTGAGTGATTGACAAAAAGCAGACTAGCAGAACTGGGGGATCTTCCCCGAAGGTAGGCAGAGCTTTCAGATGCTTTAGTCGACCAGCGTGTGGCGACACAGACACCCTTTCACCAACAAACATGACTAAAACTCGAGTTTTCGTTGCATTTGTCTTGCGATGTTAATCAAGACGGGACTGATTTATTCTGTTTATTTGGCCAAGCCTGTTTGCAAAAACGTAGGCGCCATTGCGGTCGCTACGGAAACACATACAATGCGCTACGAGGCAGGTCAAGTCATGAGCGTAACAAAGACCAGAATAGCACATCAAAGGCTGCAAAAGTAACTAGCGCCCCTCATTGACGTGATGACCATGATCTGGCCTGCAACAACGCTATCCAACCGATCTTTCAAAGTGTTGCGATCGCCAATGTGGGCGTCACATAGGGCACAAAACAGAATTTGTTTTCGTTTGGTTCCCCTTTAAAACCAGGGTGACAAGGCTACCCTGCAACACGAGCCAAAACGAAACCACGCCCCTGAAATTCCACGGACGCCAAGGCTCCATGCGTGTGGGCGAGAGAGCCCTCGTGGCCACGGAGGCTGCGAAGAAGCGGCTCGATTTTTTTGTTGGGTCTTTGGGTTCTCCTACTAAAATAAACTACAGAAAAATATGGTACCCTTATTCTAACCTCTCCACTTGAGAACCTAGTTTTTGTGAGGGAAAATTACAATTCTTTGGGGGGGGGGGGTTTAAAGGGAATTCAAAAGCGCAACCGCTTGTTCTGTTGTTTTTTCTTGGGGGGACCTTAGGAACGCCCTATATGTCCCCTTTTTCTTGGTTTTACACGTCACGTTTTTTTTCCTTTGTTTTTCTTCTTCGTTTAAGGGAAAACCTACAAACCCTGATATTGGAACATCTCCTTTGCTAACCCCTTTTTTTTCTGAGAGGCTGGTGTATCCAGGGGAAGCCTAGGTTTGATCTTGGATGGTGCAGAGGGGCCTATGGCAAGTTGACTGCTCGAGGCTTTGGCTGGGACGAAGGTAGCGGATTTGGTTGCCGAGCCTGGCAAAAGGCAGCCCGAACCCAGGCACCCAGTGGTGCCCATTTTTCGATTGGAGGGTTCTCTGAAGGGTGCGCTTTGTCTACCATGGAAATCCACGGGTCGCCCCTTTGCGTGGAAAACATGGGTCAACATGTGGGTCTTTCACGATTTGGACCCCAAAATTGCCAAACGGTTCTCCTTTTTGGGGTGTCCCTTTGTATCGTCACCAATAAGAACGGTTCCCTCAAGAAATCTGTCTGCAGACCCCCAACATGGCGCAACAGGTTTCCCTTTGGTTTAATTTCCCTTAAGAAAAATGGAAACCACACAACAGGTAGATTTCCCTTTTGAAAAAAACAACTCTTTAAGATAATTTCCCTTTGGGTTAATTTCCATGTTTCAATAATTGCCACCACGCAAAAGGTACCGAGCCTCCGAAACGACGTGCCCCGTGTTGACTTGCCAGGCGAGGATTCTGGACATCGAGCTCTTGGGCGCCAGGAACTGAGAGACCGGCAAGTTGCAAGCGCGCAGCTCAAGCACCGGGGGCTTCGGCCTCAACGAATTATGAAGTTTCCTGCGGTTTCCCGTTGGTTTTCTTTTTGATTTTCTTTTTGGTTTCCTTTTGGTTTCCTTTTGATTTTCTTTTTGATTTTCTTTTTGATTTTCTTTTTGATTTTCTTTTTGGTTTCCTTTTGGTTTCCTTTTGATTTTCTTTTTGATTTTCGTTTTGATTTTCTTTTTGATTTTCTTTTTGGTTTCCTTTTGGTTTCCTTTTGATTTTCTTTTTGATTTTCCTTTTGGTTTCCTTTTGGTTTCCTTTTGATTTTCTTTTTGATTTTCTTTTTGATTTTACTTTTGATTTTCTTTTTGGTTTCCTTTTGGTTTCCTTTTGATTTTCTTTTTGATTTTCTTTTTGATTTTCTTTTTGATTTTCTTTTTGGTTTCCTTTTGGTTTCCTTTTGATTTTCTTTTTGATTTTCTTTTTGATTTTCTTTTTGATTTTCTTTTTGGTTTCCTTTTGGTTTCCTTTTGATTTTCTTTTTGATTTTCGTTTGATTTTCTTTTTGATTTTCTTTTTGGTTTCCTTTTGGTTTCCTTTTGATTTTCTTTTTGATTTTCTTTTTGATTTTCTTTTTGATTTTCTTTTTGGTTTCTTTTGGTTTCTTTTGATTTTCTTTTTGATTTTCTTTTTGATTTTCTTTGATTTTCTTTTTGGTTTCTTTTGGTTTCTTTTGATTTTCTATTTTTTTTGATTTTCTTTTTGATTTCTTTTTGATTTTTTTTTTGGTTTCCTTATGGTTTCTTTTGATTTTCTTTTTGTTTTATTTGTGATTTTTTTTTGATTTTATTTTTGGTTTCCTTTTGGTTCCTTTTGATTTTCTTTTTGATTTTTTTTCTTTTTTTTTGATTTTTTTTTGATTTTCTTTTTGTTTCCTTTTGGTTTCCTTTTGATTTTTCTTTTTGATTTTCGGTTTGTGTGATTTTCTTTTTATTTTCTTTTTGGTTTCCTTTTGGTTTCCTTTTGATTTTCTTTTTGATTTTCTTTTTGATTTTCTTTTTGGTTTCCTTTTGGTTTCCTTTTGATTTTCTTTTTGATTTTCTTTTTGATTTTCTTTTTGGTTTCCTTTTGATTTTCTTTTTGGTTTCCTTTTGGTTTCCTTTTGATTTTCTTTTTGATTTTCTTTTTGATTTTCTTTTTGATTTTCTTTTTGGTTTTATTTTTGGTTTCCTTTTGGTTTCCTTTTGATTTTCTTTTTGATTTTCTTTTTGATTTTCTTTTTGATTTTCTTTTTGGTTTCCTTTTGGTTTCCTTTTGATTTTCTTTTTGATTTTCGTGTTGATTTTCTTTTTGATTTTCTTTTTGGTTTCCTTTTGGTTTCCTTTTGATTTTCTTTTTGATTTTCTTATTGATTTTCTTTTTGATTTTCTTTTTGGTTTCCTTTTGGTTTCCTTTTGATTTTCTTTTTGATTTTCTTTTTGATTTTCTTTTTGGTTTCCTTTTGGTTTCCTTTTGATTTTCTTTTTGATTTTCTTTTTGATTTTCTTTTTGGTTTCCTTTTGATTTTCTTTTTGGTTTCCTTTTGGTTTCCTTTTGATTTTCTTTTTGATTTTCTTTTTGATTTTCTTTTTGATTTTCTTTTTGGTTTTATTTTTGGTTTCCTTTTGGTTTCCTTTTGATTTTCTTTTTGATTTTCTTTTTGATTTTCTTTTTGATTTTCTTTTTGGTTTCCTTTTGGTTTCCTTTTGATTTTCTTTTTGTTTTCGTTTGATTTTCTTTTTGATTTTCTTTTTGGTTTCCTTTTGGTTTCCTTTTGATTTTCTTTTTGATTTTATTTTTGGTTTCCTTTTGGTTTCCTTTTGATTTTCTTTTTGATTTTCGTGTTGATTTTCTTTTTGATTTTCTTTTTGGTTTCCTTTTGGTTTCCTTTTGATTTTCTTTTTGATTTTCTTTTTGATTTTCTTTTTGATTTTCTTTTTGGTTTCCTTTTGGTTTCCTTTTGATTTTCTTTTTGATTTTATTTTTGATTTTCTTTTTGATTTTCTTCTTGGTTTCCTTTTGGTTTCCTTTTGATTTTCTTGTTGATTGTCTTTTTGATTTTCTTTTTGGTTTCCTTTTGGTTTCCTTTTTGGTTTCCTTTTGGTTTCCTTTTGGTTTCCTTTTGATTTTCTTTTTGATTTTCTTTTGATTTTCTTTTTTATTTTATTTTTGGTTTCCTTTTGGTTTCCTTTTGATTTTCTTTTTGATTTTATTTTTGGTTTCCTTTTGATTTTCTTTTTGGTTTTCTGTTTGGTTTCCTTTTGGTTTCCTTTTGGTTTCCTTTTGATTTTCTTTTTGATTTTATTTTTGGTTTCCTTTTGGTTTCCTTTTGATTTTCTTTTTGATTTTCTTTTTGATTTTCTTTTTGATTTTATTTTTGGTTTCCTTTTGGTTTCCTTTTGATTTTCTTTTTGATTTTCGTGTTGATTTTCTTTTTGATTTTCTTTTTGGTTTCCTTTTGGTTTCCTTTTGATTTTCTTTTTGATTTTCGTGTTGATTTTCTTTTTGATTTTCTTTTTGGTTTCCTTTTGGTTTCCTTTTGATTTTCTTTTTGATTTTCGTGTTGATTTTCTTTTTGATTTTCTTTTTGGTTTCCTTTTGGTTTCCTTTTGATTTTCTTTTTGATTTTCTTCTTGATTTTCTTTTTGATTTTCTTTTTGGTTTCCTTTTGGTTTCCTTTTGATTTTCTTTTTGATTTTCTTTTTGATTTTCTTTTTGATTTTCTTTTTGGTTTTATTTTTGGTTTCCTTTTGGTTTCCTTTTGATTTTCTTTTTGATTTTCTTTTTGATTTTCTTTTTGATTTTCTTTTTGGTTTCCTTTTGGTTTCCTTTTGGTGTCCTTTTGGTTTCCTTTTGATTTTCTTTTTGATTTTATTTTTGGTTTCCTTTTGGTTTCCTTTTGATTTTCTTTTTGATTTTATTTTTGGTTTCCTTTTGGTTTTCTTTTTGGTTTTCTGTTTGGTTTCCTTTTGGTTTCCTTT